AGGCAGAAAAAACAATTGTTAAGCACTAAAATGAGGAACTGTTTACTTCACTCTTTTTGCTCGGGGAAATAATTACTTTTGGATGGACAGAAACGCAGGTCACAGTCTACACACATTACAAACTGTTTCCTTTCTGTTATCTTCAAAGCCACTGGTGGCTCCATAATTCGAATTTTACTTTTTTTTTCTGCCTGCACCAGTGTATGCAGCTGGTTACTTTATATCTCGTTCAGAGGACCTCTTTCTGTCTCAGTCTGCGGTTCTTGGCCAGAATACACAGCGAAGTGAATCATGTCGAGAGTCAAAATCTGGCTATGCGAGACAACACACCTAGACCAATGATCCCCAGCGTCTCTCCTCTGATCCGGGCCGCCCCAGACGCAACCTCCCGGATCTGTTCCACACTCTGGACCCGCGTGCCCTCCCGGAGAGCCTGGTGCAGCCAGGTGGTGCGTCGGTACAGGTTTAGGATGTGACACATGGTGGAGTCTGCCGTCTCCTCGACTGAAGCTGCTGGCATGTTGCAGACTGCTATTCCTGCGGATGTGGACGGGTTACAGTCAGACTCTTCATACAGCAAACACACACACACACTGTTGTGCAACATGTGGGATGTAATGAAAAACCTTCTTAACCATTACCTAAGTCTCCAGCGGACTTTATGTCGATATTATCAAAGCCGCTCCCAACGCGGACGATTATACGAAGTGCTTTGAACTTTTCCAGGTCCTCCCTCATCAGGGTGATGGTGTGGTACATGAGTGCACCCACTGCTTCATTTAAAACCTGAGAGAGTGGACACAAACTACAGTCAGTCTATGAGAAGAAGACAGTCACAAGTTGAACAGCTCTCGAACTGAGGGGCGAGTCGAAATGATTTTTATCCTAACTGACTTGATGACAAACATTTTATCTTGGCCATTTATTGTCTCATAATTCATTAATTTGTTCCCCTGTTTTCGATGTAATTAAAACGAGAGAAGAAATTAGTACAACATAACCACAATTTACTAAAGTGGGAAATAATTCTTAATTTGTGGCAACAATTTATCTAAAATGAGGGAACAAATTAATAGGTCATGGTAATGAACATTGTTGGGGAAAGTTTCTTTTAAAAGTATTGCACTGCAAAATTGCATCACTCCATAAAAAAAGTAACTAATTGCATTACTTAGTTACTTTTATAGAAAGTAATGTGTTACGTTACATTTACATTACTTTTTCTCGGATCTAAAGTCATTTTTGCTTAGTATGGTTGAATTGGATCATTGAAGGTCAGC